ATGGTTAAATTACCACCCTCGATGGAGGACAGTGTAATCCAGACATGTTGCGATGATTTAGGTTACGCGGGTTAAATTATGCTAGTTTCCGAATTTGCGAGATGAAGTTAATACAGGGTGTTTGTCCCAACATGACGACTTAAAATAACTCGTAAGTTACTCGTTGTAACTCGTTGTAATTCGTTGCAAGCAAAAGTTGCTTGGTATCCAGGGGAACATGCACTGCTCTAATTTGTTTTTTATTATCTTACATTTTCAGTGAGATATTATGGTCACCTTTAGTTTTTTAAATGGAATGTCTAATATTTTTTTTCTAATTCGGATGAATCATCTTTTGTGTAAAAAAGTGGTGTTCGAAGTGTTAAGTCGTGTTAAGAATCACGTTGACTGAGCGTATTTCCTAACAGAAAATTATTGATTTCAAAATAACTCAGTAATTATTCAGTTTAAATCCCACTTTGTATTAAGTTCTACTATTTTACACAAAATTTGATTATTTATTCAAATCTGAGAAGAAATATTAGACATTCCATTTAAAAAACTAAAGGTGATCCAAATGTTTCGCTATAAAAAGTAAGGTAATAAAAAACAGATTAGAGCGTTGGTTGTCTACCGGGATACCGAACAACTTTTATTTGAAACCTTTTTTTCGTACAACGAATAACTTACGAGTTATTTTAAATCGTCTTGTTCAGAGAATCACCCTGTATATGGGCCATTCCACGCAAAGTGATCACACTTTTTCCCGCATGGTCTTGGATTTTTGTTAAATTTTGTAGGCTTGTAGAACCCAATGTACGAACAAAAAATCGATGCTCCGTTCCTCGATATTGTTTAAACTTTCCAAGTTATAAGGACTGAAAATTTAGGGTCACTTTTTTTTCAAAAAATCATAACTCGGAAAGTATTATAGATATCGACATGCATGAACCGGCATTTTATAGGTAGAACTTCAAAGTTTAATAAAAAAATTACTACATGTTTCAACGCAATCTTCAAATTGTTGTAAACATGGCTTGGAAAAGGGACGAAGTATGGGGGAGAGTTTTTCTTCGGAATGGAAACGTTTTAGCCTGTACAGGGTTAGTTGGAAGAACGAGACGAACCGAGTCAGACAAGTTTGCGAATAAAGAGTTTGCTTTACATTGTACATTTAAGGTTTCTGTTTTTTTCCCGATTCTCCCTTACCCGGGTCATTTTGATCGATCTCGGATCCAACATTTGGCGACCGTGACAGGACTCGGGGTCTTCTGTTTTGAATCGGGAAGTTTTGTGTGTTATTTCGTTCCCAGTCCGGAAAATGGATCAAGCAAAGAGGAAAAGGACTGTGCAACGCGGTTCATTTACGAATGCCTTGAACAATTTTAATGAACAGTGTGCGTCTATTTCTGATTGGGAGAGCTTTACAGTGACGATTCAAGTTTTAGAAGAGAAAATGCATGAGTTAAACGTGACTACGAGCCTCATTATAGGCGCTCTGTTTGATACGCCGACGACGTCAGAGACTGATTTGTGCAAGGAATCTGAAGACGCAGATGTATATAAGAATAAATTTTTGACTACAAAGTACCAGTTTAATGAGCGGTTAAAATCGAGAAGCTCAACTGATGTTCAAACAGTATTACCAGCGGGAGCAAATGAGGTGAAGAAAACTTATAAATTGCCACGGATTGAATTGATCAAGTTTAATGGAGGAATACGCGAGTGGTTGTCGTTTTGGAGTCGATTCAAAAAGATTCACGAAGACACAGATATGGACAGAGAAGATAAGTTTCAATATCTAATACAAGCTATAGTGCCCGGTTCACGCACCTCGGAATTAGTGACAAGTTATCCGCCAACTGGTGAAAATTACGAAAAAGTTATTGACAGTCTAAAAAATAGATTTGGCCGTGAAGATTTGCAAATAGAGGTGTATGTGCGTGAATTATTACAATTAGTTTTACAGAACGCGATTTCGCCTACAAGGAATATGCAGCTATCGACGTATGATAAAATCGAGTCTTATTTGAGAGCTTTGGAATCGCTGGGTGTTACTACGGACAAGTGTGCAGCAATGCTGTTTCCGCTAGTCGAATCTTCGTTACCTGAAGAGTTGCTACGAGCGTGGCAAAGGAGTAATGCTGTTCAATATATAATACATTGGCGCCGCATGCGGATAACACGTCAACGCAGTCTCAAGATCGACTAACGCGGCTTATAAAGTTTCTGGAAGCGGAAGTGCAAAACGAACTGCGAATAACGATGGCGGTAAAAGGCTTTGATTTAAAAGTGAGTGATAACAGTGAGGCTAATAGACGAAGGAAACCAAGTACATACCACGATCATAAAGATGTCCCCAGCGCGGCAGGTCTGCTTGCTACGAAAGTTCGCGAAAACCTTTGTATATTTTGCGGAGGTAAAGATCACGTTGGTGATAACTGTTTCAAGGCGAAGAAAATGAGTCTTTCAGAAAAACGGGAAATGGTTAAGCGAAAGAATACTTGTTTTTACTGTTTAAAAATTGGGCATGGTGCTAAGATGTGTCGCGTGTATGTAAAATGTGCAAAGTGCTCGTGACGCCACGTTACAGTGATGTGTCCGGCTGAGAGTTTCGAAGGTGATAAGGGTAGTTCCCAAAAGATTGTGACGGACAAGGGCAACATACCGAAAGAGTGTAATATGGCTAGTGTTTGTAATGATCCGTAAGTTTATTTACCAACGCTCCGTGCTAAATTAAATAGTGAAACGACTGATTGCATTGTAAGAGTTGTGAACGGATCTGCGAGGAGCATTTCCAACGAACTGTTCGCAGGAGTCCCAGTGGTAGATACGTAGTAGCACTTCCGTTCAACGACAAGCTACCGCAACTTGGGGAGTCCAAATCCAGGGCACTGAAACGCCTGTTGGCTTTGGAACGCAGGCTGCAGCACGACCAAGGTTTATCGCAACAATATCGGTCTGTACTGCAGGAATACCAGGACCTAGGACACATGTCAGAAATACGAGACACCGACGAAATCAGCGACGGGTATTATCTACCCCATCACGGGGTCACGAAGACTTCCAGTGATATCACAAAGTTACGGGTGGTGTTCGACGGATCCGCTGCAACAACAACAGGCGTTTCGCTTAACGAGACGTTACACGTTGGGCCGAAAGTTCAAGACAATTTATTATACATACTCATAAGGTTTCGAAGTCACCGGTATGTCTTGAATGGCGACATCGAAAAGATGTACAGACAATTTCTGGTCCGCCCCGAGGACCGGAAATATCAGCGTATCCTCTGGCGTGATCCTGCGGGTAATTTGAAAACATACGCATTAAACACGGTTACCTTTGGACTTTCCGCCGCTCCGTACTTGGCCATTCGCTGCCTCTCGCAATTGGCTCAAGACGAAGGACACCGATTTCCTGACGCCGCGCAGAATCTGGTAAGGGACTTCTATGTGGATGACCTACTAACTGGAGCATCGACGGTGAAGGGAGCCCTGGCCTTGCGAGACCAAATGATCCAGTTACTAAATTCAGCCGGGCTACAAATTCGACAATGGGCCTCGAATCACAAGCCACTCTTGCATGGATTACCCGAACAGGACATCAACAAGAGGCTTCACCTGGGGGAGTCCTCGACAATAAAAACACTAGGGGTTGTCTGGGATTCCACCGATGACACAATTCAGTATTCCGTGACCAATGTCACGCTCACAAAATCCGTTACCAAACGATCCATCAGTTCTGTCATCGCACGAATTTACGACCCGTTGGGCCTGCTCGGACCAGTTATAATCGTCGCGAAGATTTTATTGCAGAAGATCTGGACAATGAAAATCGACTGGGACGAGTCGCTGCCAATGACCGTACACACGGAATGGATGCAGTATTGTAAACAATTGCCATTGTTAAATAACATTACGTTTCATAGGAACACACTCATCAACGAACCAACATCCGTCGAACTACATGGCTTCTGTGATGCCAGCGAACGAGCATATGAGGCCTGCATCTACCTTCGATCAAGGAATGCCGATGGCCACTATCAGGTTGAACTCTTGCTGGCAAAATCTAAGGTGGCTCCGCTGAAAACCCAATCAATTCCACGATTGGAATTGTGCGGAGCGGTGCTCCTAACTTCATTAGCCACAACAGCACAGAGGGCTCTACATATCACCATCAACCGCACCATCTATTGGACCGATTCCGCTATAGTATTACACTGGCTACGAACATCGCCACACCTACTTAAAACCTTTGTCGCGAATCGAGTCGCCGAAATCCAGAACAACACGGACGTCAACGACTGGCGACACGTCCCAACCGCAGACAACCCCGCAGACATCATCTCTAGAGGCCGATCACCTGAGGAATTCCTACAACCATCGATCTGGCACCATGGACCGAACTGGTTACAAGAAGAGGAAACACACTGGCCTTCCGGAAACATACAATGTCCAAACGATCTTCCGGAACAGAGAACCGTCGTCTGCTTAACCACTACTCGTCCTGATGTCAATTTCATTGAACGATTTTCGTCATGGGGAAAATTAATCAGGGTCATCGCATACTGCCTACGGTGGAAACGCAGTCACGCGGCAAAGGGAGCATTCACAGCTTCAGAATTAAGGTACGCCCATGATGTCATAATCAAAACAATACAACGACTTCACTTCACTGAAGAAATGAAGAGGCTAATAACAGGCAACGGCCAGACATTAAAGGGCAGGCTTCAACGTTTAAATCCGTTCATTGACCGCGACGGACTTCTACGAGTCGGAGGCCGACTGAAGAATTCATTCATGCCGTTCAGTCAACGACATCCGATCATCCTGCCGAAGACCTGAGTCACTGCATTAATATTAGGAAATGAGCACCGTGCTCAATTGCATGCAGGTACCCAGGCCACCCTTTATGCGGTCAGACGACGCTGTTGGCCCATTGACGGCCGAAACCAAGTCTGGAAGGTCGTAAAGGCCTGCGTCCGCTGTTGCCGAGCACAACCGCCGCCGGTGGATTACATCATGGGTAACCTACCTGCAGCCAGGGTCACGGAATCTCGGCCATTCACCAATGTGGGAGTTGATTACTGCGGACCCTTCTTCATAAAAGAAAGAAAACATAGAAACCTCAATCGGGTTAAGGTTTATGTTGCAGTTTTCGTCTGCCTCGCCGTAAAGGCGGTCCATTTGGAGCTCGTCAGCGAATTAACAACTGAGGCTTTCTTGGCGGCCCTCAGACGGTTTATCGCTAGAAGAGGATTTTGTACGGACCTGTATTCGGACAACGGTTCCAACTTCGTCGGGGCAAACAACGAGTTACGTGAACTGCGCTCACTACTACAATCTGACGATCATCGCGAGAAGGTCACCACCTTTCTCGCAGAACGCGCAATCAACTGGAACTTCATCCCTCCATTGACACCTCACTTTGGAGGATTGTGGGAAGCTGCGGTGAAGTCATTCAAATATCATTTGAAGCGCGTCGCAGGAACCGAATTGTTCACCTTTGAAAACTTCAACACCCTAATTATTGAAATTGAATCCATATTGAACTCTCGTCCACTCACTCCAATTTCATCAGATCCAAATGACCTCCTGGTTCTCACACCTGCTCATTTCTTGATCGGTGACTCTTTGACCAGTTTGCGGGAGAGAAATTTCAGAGACACTCCATCGAACCGCCTGTCCAGTTGGCAACACGTCCAGAAGGTGAAGCAACACTTCTGGACCAGATGGCACCGAGAGTGTCTCAACGAGTTGACCACCCGCAGCAAATGGACAACAGGAGGCCACGCAATAAGGGAAGGTACCATCGTGCTGCTCAGGGAGGACAACATTCCCTCTCTGCACTGGCCACTGGGCCGAGTCGTCAAGGTCCATTCCGGTTCCGACGGCATCATTCGAGCCGCCACCATAAAAACGGCCAAGGGTACGCTAGATCGAAGCGTAAAACGACTCGTTCCCTTGCCCGTCCAGACAGACCAGGATGAGCAGATTATGGACTCTCATTAATAACTTTAATTTAATTTAATGTAACTATACGTAGATCATAAGTTCCTTTTTAACTACTTGGGTCATAATTGTACTAGCCATTCTTAGACCATTAAACCTATACCACTATATGAATTCAGACATCTACACGTACACTATCATCATTTGATCGATGCCCTCTCAACGGGGGGAGGATGTTTCGCAGCACCGCGAATTTATAATTACAACCGTCAATACACAATAGCAATCATTGTCAATCAACAACCATCAGGTCTTCTTATCGACGGTAACAAACACACTGCAATTAAACTGAAGCCTGTTCAATACATTCAGCCTACCTGGCAAGGACTAATCAACAAAGGAACGAATAACCAACCGTTTATTATACGAATTTAGAAGTACGATCCTTCACGTTCAATAATAAAACTCACAATTACTAGGAAACATACTAAACTGGTCGGAGTCATAGTTTGTCACGTATTGAAGCAATTACTATTCAAGAGTTCGGAATTTCCAAACAATAAATAGAATTTCTAAGGACAAGGTTCTAAAAATCAGGACGTTTATTTTAGAATCCATATTGTCCACAAAACTCGCGACAAGCAGTTTACAATCTTTTACGGGTGCCTTCACCTTTCTACAGTTATCCAGCTGGACAAAACGAACGCCTAAACCTTTTGTCAGATTAATTCTGCAAAACGTCAAACTTTCACTCCGAGTCATAAACAGGACCCCCTGTGATGCACAAATCAACCAAGTCAAACAAAACCCTAAGGGGTCCCGAACCATCTAAGCTGCATACTCAGGCACCAACGGTCACTTGACCATATACCTCTAAGATACAACCCAAACGTAAGGGTCTTGAGCCGTCTGTCGCTCACGCCTGGGTCACTGCCGGTTCGGGTCATAAACTTTGGCGAGTTCCACGTGCATCACAGCCTGCTAGGTTTTCCGGTAGCTTACATGGGAAATGTCCGGTAAGCTGATTTGCTGAACAGTTCAGCCTATCGCCAATAGCTAAACTCAAAACGTTTACTAATTGGCCCTTTTGGTCAACGCCTATCTCGTCGGACTACCTCTCTGCGGCTTCTTGCTGGACGTTTTTGACACGGACATTCATTCGATCACGAGTCTTCAAATAGTTCACTCAGCTCCAACGTTTAGAGTCACTTGTCATTTGCAAGCCGTGAGAAAATAAATTAAAACTTCGAGTCATCGGGATTTTTCAACTCTCCGACCAGTGGAGTGTATTCCAACACGCATCGTACCGCTTGTTTCACAACACCAGACAATTGTATAAGACTCTTAGTAATATAATATCATATTTAATCTAGATATAATCATTTATTACCCTTAATATTATAATAGATCTTAAGGAGGTACAAATTTCGTGGTGGTGTCAATCGGTGACGAAACAATATCGATTATCATCGCGAACGCGTACTAAAAAACAGCCTTCAGTCTACAATAAAGAAGCTACAGTTGGACGGAAAATTTGAAGCGTACGACAAAGTTTTTGAGCAGTGGGTAGAAAAAGGAATCGTCGAATACGTGACCAAGGAAGAAGAGGAACAATGGGGGCATTATTTGCCGCACCGTGCCGTCATCAAGGAGGGAAGTACAACAGTGGTTAGGCCCGTTTTCGACGCATCAGCCAGGGAAGGGCAGTTCTCCTCATTAAATGAATGTCTACAAAAGGGTTCCAATCTCATCGAGCTGGTAACGTCAATTTTACTGCGCTTCAGACAAGGTAGCATTGGGGTAGTTTCAGACATAAAGAAAGCGTTCCTACAAATAAGTTTACGGCTTAAGGATAGAGATTTTTTGCGTTTTCTATGGGTAGACAAGGAAGGAAAAACGGTAATATTAAGGCATTGTAGAGTAGTTTTTGGTGTCTCCTGTAGTCCGTTTATTCTCGGAGCGGTTATCAATATGCATTTGGAGAAAATCATCAAATCGATTGAAAATGGTTCAAATGTTTTACTTGATCGCGAAAATATTGTGAAACTTTCTAGAAGTTATTATGTCGATAATTGTGTAACGAGTCTGAATTCGATAGATCATTTGAATATGTTCATAGTGGATTCAAGAAAAGCGATGGAATTAGCTAATTTCGATCTCCGTGGGTGGGAGTACAACGGAGTAGTAGATGCTGATTTTGAAAAGGTTACGAAACGGAGTATTTTGTCTTTATCACATAAATTATTTGACCCGTTGGGATTTATTTGCCCGGTGATGCTACAAGAAACATGGGCGAAAAAGTTATCGTGGGATGAGGAAGTTAGTAGCGATATTAAAAGTAAATTTATTAAATGGAGTCGCAAAATGGAAAATTTAAATGAAGTCCGTGTACAACGATGTTTGCTAAGAAGGGTTAATGATGCAGATAGAGTTACGTTGCACACCTTTTGTGATGCTAGTAAGGTAGCCTATGCCGCGGTAGTATTTATTCGTATTGAGCATGATTCAAGTGTTGCCGTTAGTTTTGTTGAAGCGAAGAATCGGGTAGTCCCGATAAAAGGGGGAAAACGGTAATTCGCGTCATAGTATTCCGCGATTCGAGTTATTAGCGACAACGATATGTGTCCGATTAACAGACACGATTATAAAAGCGTTCAATTTTAAAGATATTGATGTTTTTTACTGGACCGACTCGTCATTCGTATCAGTCTGGATTAAGTGACAATGCAATTGGGCGACTTTTGTTTGGAACCGGGTTGTAGAAATAAGGAAATTGTCAAATCCGAATCAGTGGAGACACGTGTCCGGGCAGTTTAACCCTGCAGATTTACCGTCTAGGGGTTGTACGGTCAGCCAGCTTTTGTCATCGAAATGGTGGGAGGGTCCCGATTGGCTGCGGTTACCTATGGAAGGCTGGCCCAGCGAAGACGTCACGTGCAATGATGAAGAAATTAATTTTGAATTACGTAAAACCGCGATCAAAACATGCTCTGTATTAGTTACGCTAGTTAATAGCAATAAAAATGATGCGAAACCGTGGTATGAAAAATATTCGTCATATAATAAAGTAATTAGAATACTCGCATGGGTGAAAAGGTGTTTTGAGCGTAACGCTATTTTAAATTTCGCCGGAACTATCCTGACAAGGATATGCAGGAAGATTGTGGAAAAGGTAGTTTAATAAAGAATCGAAATTCGTCACTCAATGATAACACAAATCACTTTTATTAACTCCGCTTCCGCGATTGAAGTTTCGATAAACGTGTAACTTCCCGGCGATACGTTGAAGGCGAAGCGAATATTGTCGTTGAGTATTCGAGCAAGCGATAAGCGCGTTGTTAGAATTAAGCGAGACACGTGTATTGCGTTCGATGTTTTGAACAAAAGTGATCTATCGATCACCTACAGGCACCGCGATCACGCGTGGCGCCAGGATCGAAGGTGTGTGACGTCATTAACGGACGAGTTAATTTGTCGAGCGGGATTCTTAAACTAAGCGAAATTAATGAATAAAATTAAATCTTAACCTAATTGTAGTATTAATTTACAACCTTAACAAAAGGTTTTATTCGAATTGCAAAGGCAAAAATGATTTATGGGAGTTAAATGAACTGAGTGCTGAAGAATTAAAACTCGCAGAGACAAATATGCTTAGGTTAGTTCAGTCAGAATACTTCAATGATAAAGATTACGAACACATTAAACATTTTAAACCGTTTAAAGATCAGCATGATTTAATTAAAATAAGTTCAAAAGTAATTTTGCGAGAAGACGCAATTTTCGATAGGTGTTCGAAATTTTATAATTTTCGATTTCCTATTATTTTGCCGGAAAAACATATGTTAATTTAATATGATGAAACGTATTTTATTATATTTATTGAATACACAAGAAAGAAAAACGTGCCATTTCATGCGAGAGCACAAAATCTTAATCTCACTCACGCCGCTCACGCTACGCGGCGCTCACATACGCAACACTCTTCTGTAACGACCCGTTAAGAAGACCCAGCACCTTTTTCCATTTCGTTTTTATTATTATAATTTATTTTTAGCACAAAATGGTTAATTTAATTTTTATGTTTAAAAGAGTTTATAAAAAAAAAAAATAATAATTAGTTTGATTTGTATTATACTTCTTATAATAAATAAATTTCATTTAATCGATAACATCGACATCAGCGATAAGTCGATAAGCAATTAGTCGGTAAGTCGGTCGGTAAATAGATTATCGATAAATGATCGACAAACGAATGCATACGCGCCAGCGCAACCCCGATGATCTCGCGGTGGGGTGAAATTCTAGAGTAGGGTGACCGCGTAGACTAAGGAGCAGGGGTGCTCGGCCGTCACGTGATGGGGAATTCCAGAAATTCAAAGGAACCCTATAATAAAAAAAAACGCTAAGTCAGCAGAATCTGACTATAAATAGAGGCGTTTCACGCAGAGTCAGATCAGATCTTCCCTGGCTTCGGTCAGATGCAGACAATACTCTGGAAGTAGAGGAAAAGCTTGCGCTGAATTGCCTAGGCAACTATAGAGCGCGAGATTAGCTCTATCCTTCTCTTTCAGTAGCGACGTACGAGAGTTCGGATCTGTGGACACCCTACTCATGGTACGCAACGTGTTGAACACGTGCTAATACTAAGCCACACGTTCAAGTGTAAAGAGCTAGCGAGGAGCGGAGCTCCTTGAGCAGGCCTGTATTAGCATAGCTCTGGCTAGACCAGAAACCGATTGCGACCTGTAGGTATAGTCCGCTCGTGTCCAAAGGTATCGTACAAGCTACTAGAATATAGTTTTCCAGTACTTAGTGTAACTTGGCAAATTGTACAGAGTATTGGCTGTATTCGAAGATCAAGTCGCGTTAATCATATATTTTGCACTGTATTTCATTATCTAGGGCGTACCTATTATAATTTCTTATTGTATTTCATTATCTAGGGCGTACCTATTGTTATACTTAATATTATACTTACTTAGAGCAATTATAGTTAATTTACTTACTTAAATAAAAGATAATTTTTAGTTTGATACATTAATGTTGGATTTCACTCCTTA